TTCTCTTAGGGTTTGCATGATATCTGTCCAGGCTTTTCTATCTTTTTGTGTCTCTTTGAGAATCTGGTTTAATTCTGATAGGTCTACATTTATATGTTTCTTGGCTTTTTTTCCCTTATAGCTTTTAATACTCTTCCTTTGTTCTGTGTATTTAATGTTTTAGTTATTATGTGATAACAGGATTTCTTTTCCACAACTTATTTGTACATTCATGGCCATCTGTTTATGTAGGTTGGGAAAGTTTTCTAATGATTTTGTTGAAGACGTTTTCAGGATCTTTGAACTGGAAATATTTACTCTGTTCTATTACTATTATTCTTACTTTTGATGTTTACATTGTGCCCTGGATTTCCTGAATGTTTGAGTTAGGAGTTTTTTTTTATGTTTTACATTTTCTTTGACTGTTGTGTCAATATCTTCCAACATATCTCCTACACCTGAGATTCTATCTTGCATCTCTTGTATTCTGTCAGTGATACATCTTTTGTGTCAGTTTTTGACCTCTTTCCTAGGTTTTCTGTTTTAAGAGTTGCCTCCATATGTGTTTTCTTTACTGTTTCTACTTTGACTTTTAGGTCTTGTACTGCTTTGTTTAGCTCCGTCACCTGTTTGAGTGTTTTACTGTACTTCTTTAAGGGATACACTTGTTTCTTCTGTAAGGGCGTCTACCTTTTTTCCTGTGTTTTATTGTATTTCATTCATTGAGCTATTTATATCCTCCTTGAAGAACTCTATTATCTTCATGAGATAGGATTTTAGGTCAGCTTCTTCATTTTTAGATGTGTTGACGTTTCCAGGGCATGCAGTGGTAGGTGAACTGAGTTGCCAAATTATATTGGCTTCTGTTGTTTATGATCTTATGCTTTCCTCTTACCATCTTCTTATATCTGGTGTTATCTGGCATGGGTACCTCTCTCTGGAGCCTCCCTCCTGTGTCTCTGGGTTGCTGCAGGTCTTCTGGTAGGACTGTTGCCTGGCTGCTGCATATTTCCTGGGAAGACAGATGGCATATACTGATAAGTGCATGTTAGCCAAAAAGAAGCTCAGAATTCCCATGATACAAAAAACAGATTATGTGAAACCCAAGAGGAAAGAAGATCACAGCAAAGTGTGGATGCTACAGTCATTCTCAGAATGGGAAAGAAAATAATCTCCAGGAATCAGAGTGAGAGAGGGACTTGGGCGGGAGAAAGGAAGGAGCATTAAGAAGGGGCCAGCCTTTTTAGATATGGGAGGAGATGGCAGAGAAATACTGAGGGTCAGGATTTTTGAAAGTAGGTATGCAGCAGTTCGGGAGGAAGAATTGGGGGTTGTCACCCAAAAGTCCCAGAAGCCAGAGATGCAAGTGGTTTCCAGGTCCCAACAGGGAGGACATTAACTGAAATACCCAACAAAGGGCAGATAGAACCTGTAGAGACTATATAAAGTGAACAGGCATGGCACTTAATGGAGGGATGGGGCCAACTACTAACCTCAGAAATATTAATCCAGAATTCCTCCTGTCAAAAGGAAATGCAAGGATATTGTAGATGCATAAAACTTGGGGTATCTATTGCAAAACATTGCATTCATGAAGTATAGATCTCTCAAAATAAAAGTTATTTGATGTCTAGACAATATAGCTTGAGAGATAGGCTCCCTAAGCCATGAAAACTTAGGTTCTATTATACACTAAAACTAAAAATGTGAAACTTGTGCTGGATAGTCTTATGGCACCATGACACACAAACAAGAAGTATCTGAAAGGAGGGAAGCTTACTAGAAAAAAATGCTTCCATCAGATCTAGCTGTAAGCATTTTTTAAATTAGTTATTGATTGGACAAGGGTTCAAACCATAGTGGGTATTTCTGTTCCTGTACTGATGGTCCTGATTTATATAAAAAAGCAAGATGAACAAGCCATGGGAAGCAAGCCAGTATGGAGCACTCCTCCATGGACTCTGCATCAGTGTCTGCCTCCAGGTTCCTGCTCTGTTTGGTTTCCTGACCTGGTTGCTCTGGGTGATGAACAGCAATGTGGGAGTTTATGCTTGATAAGTAATTTCCTCCTCAATTTGATTTTTTCTCAGTGTTTTGTTGCAACAATAGAAGCTCTAATTAAGACAAACTGATGTGCGTGATAAACCTGAGCCTGTCTGGGGGAAAATTATTGAAGGACTTTTGAAATTTTGTCTAGAAAATCCATTCAGTTTTGACAGTGGACTGTATTATAAAAGTATAGAAGAAAAAAATGTTGAGAGAAGTACCTAAGAATCAAGTCTAACTTGTGAGATTTCAGAAAGAAGTTAAGTCTTTCCCAGTCTTTTTTTGTGAATGATCTGTGGTTCTAGTAATCTGGTGCTGAAAAATTTAGCACTGATTAAGAAGAGACCAGCATCATGAAAGTGAAAAAATCTGGTATTTGTTTTCTGATGCTCAGCACACAGAAGCTGTGGTCCAGAAATGACAAAGATTGTACCTGATTCTGACCACTGAGATTGTAGTGTATGAATCACCCAGGTAGTTCTGGTTTTGAAGACATGAAGGAAGTCATGGAAAGTGGCTGAAGATTGGTACCATGTAAGGGTAAGGGAGGCTATTGGTGAAGGTACAACCTCAGTGACAATTAAAGGCCCAGGACTGAGGCAGTCATGTAGACAACTTAAGGCTTAGCACTGTCAGAGGCTATTGCTAAATGTGTGGCCCAACTGATAGAGAAGACCCCAGGATTCTGGATGTCAGTACCATGGGATGACTAATAAAACAGCAGCAGCCCTATAGTGGACCCAGCTCAAGTCTAGAAGACAAACTCTGTGTGTGCTTTATAGGGCAGATCAGGAAAGGTGACTCAAGTTTCCTAAAGGAGCCCAGATGATCATGAGTGAATCAAAGATAGTTGGACATTAAGCTGTTGTTGGATTTGGGTTTGCTTCATTCAGACTGTGCTTCTTTCTTCCCTGTCAGTGTTATAAAGTATTTTAATTCTTATGGGAACTGATAGCTGAAAGAAAAAACTTTTAAAGATAATTTTGCATCTTTAGAGAGATTGGATAGTTTAAAGAGACTGAAATTTTTTAAGGAAAATATTCTAAGAATTTGCTGAAGGTTTAAAATGAAAGGTACACATAGGCTACATATTCAGAAAGTTTCTACAATGCAACATTAAAGTGACCAGAATTATCTCCAAAGGAAAAAAATCCCTAAACAGTATAATAATCACATTGATTACTTGTGTACAATTTTTTACTTTATGTACAAGATATGGAATGCTATACAGATAACTGTTTTTGTTTCTAGGACAGCATGATGTTGAATTACAAATGCTAAAACAATAATGTAACATATTCAATACATTATATCATACTGTCATAACAGTAATATTCAACTCATAAATGACATCAACATACAATCAGCACAGGTCATTATATAGGCAAACTTTTAAATTCTTTGTCTTTAGGAATCATAGAAAAGGAAGACCCTGTTGCCACTGTTGATGAGCACATGGGAGCTTAATGCAGAAAAACAAGATGTCAGAAGGGCAGGTGTGTTCACTACCCATGGCCACAGTTTTTCAGCAGGAATCATCCAGATTGTCAAATTAAAGTATACAAAATAGAAGGCAGTATCAAAACTCAGAGGAATTAGAATGATTCATATGGCTCTGACTTCTTGGGAACCATTAGAAGAAATAGTATCTATGAATGTGTTGGACTCTGTTCTGGTGTGTCTTTGAAGCACAATGGCCATAAATTTACTGGACAAGACCAATGGAATCAAACTTATCATGTCAGGGAAAAGGTAGAAGAGCGTATATTATGAGGAACATATACCTAACACTGTCCAGGATTAATACACATAGTTGCTTTCTACCTTTAGATTTTTCCCATTCAATATAACATTCATTACAAATGGAAGAAACAAATTCATCAGGAGATTTAGGAACCAGGTTAAGAGACATCAGTAATAGATAACATTACAGGGATTTTCCCAAAAGATATCTATTCTGCATCTCATTTTTTTCTGTTAACCTGTCTGGTTGTTTGTTCTCCCCTTCCATCTCTACTTTCTCTGTGGCTGTCCAGTCCAAAAGTTCTCTATTCTCTGTAATACAAAGACTATATCACTATATTATATTACTATACCACACAGAATTAAATACTGACACTTTAATGAGATTGACTTAAAATCCCACTTTGTCAGTACAAAAACTTCATGTATCTGGTACTTACTATTCTTTTTCATTGCTTTCACAATACCACAACAAAAATTACTGGTAAAAGGTAAAACTGTCAGTTTGGGTCACAAATTCAAGGTTCATTCAATCATAGTAGACAGAATATGCCAGCACTTGGGGAGTTTGGTGTTTGTGTCATCGGATTCTCACAGCATGGAAGACTTGACTTTCATTGAGTTTCAGACCACAACTGACCTATTTGACATGAAGAACCTACCTCCTGGTAATATTTCAGAGGGCGATAACCAGCATTCTGAAGTGAACCTAGGAGATGTAAATCTTAATTTCATTCTCAACTAAATTATAGGCATCATGAAGACACTGTGTCATGTTTTGTTTAAGAAGCATGAGTTATAAATTAAAATAAAGAATGTCTGCCAAGAATTATTTTTTCAGAGGCATTTTCAGTCATTATGAACCAGTCAAAGGCAAAGCTCATTTACATTAGCATTTAACCTCAATGGTCTATGTGAAAATTCAGATCCTGAGTTAAATAACTCCTCAGTTGTTTTTCTTCCTAATCCTTACCTCCAGCTCTGAGAACTCTTTCAATGTACTACAGTCACCTAATCCTTTGTTTAATATGCCATTACTGTGGAAATCCTTGAGCATCCTTTGTGTCTTGGGATTTCATTTCATTCTAATTTTTGATTCTAAATGTGTCTTTACTATTCAAATTTTTGGTTAAAAAATGATTATTGATTTGGTCTTCTACATGTGTCCAGAATGCCCCAGAGTTCTCATCATTTTGTGACAACTAAACATAATGTTGAGTTTCTTTTCAAAGGTTGTGAGAACAAGTATGAAGAAGGAACTTGAGGCAGCAAAGACAAAACCTTCTCCAAAAGACTTGTTCTACACACCCATCCTACGTAAGCGGATATGTCTCCTGTCCTTTGTGAGGTAGGCTTTCAGTGTGCCTATAGAAATAGTACAGAGTTACATTTTCTTACTGACAGATTTGAGGCATAATATAACAATGTCTGTAGCTACAAGTAGTGAAGGGTTTTGAGTTTAGCAATACAGAACTTGTTGTATGATGATTAATATGTACATCTGAACTCTCTGCCAGGCTGTCAACCAGAGACTAATGCAGAGAATGCTTATCATGGTGTAAACTTGAAATGTATTACTGTTCATTTGTCCAATTCCATTTCAAAATGATGAAAACTCTAATATACTAAGTAAATAAACTTGAGTCATGAACCTCTATAGCCATAAAGATGTAACTGTCCCACAGGTCAACTTATGGAAAAAAATCCTAAGTGCTGATAGGACCGACCATATACACTCCATACCCATTAACTCAAACCAAACTTCAAGAGTGGTATGTGTTCTCTCTTCACACAATCACTTTATAGTAGGTATAAAATTATCCCTTAAAAGTAAATAATTCCAAAATGACTAGATGCTTTCATAGTGAAACCACTAAAATGATATCTTGTCTAATAATATTAATAGCTGTTCAACATTAATTCTACACTTTGTGATATAATTTTCTTCCTTTTTTTCACTGCAGATTTCTAGCAACATTATCAGGATCCGGCCTGGGATTTCATCTCCAACACCTGAGTCCTAATATTGTCCTATTGCAGTTTCTCTTTGGTGCAGTGGCCATACCAGCCAGTGTTATTGGACATTTTGTACTTAATAACATGGGTCGTAGAATAGGCCAACAGGTTATTCTGTCCTTGAGGGGAATCTGTATTCTCACTGCCATATTTGTACCTGAAGGTGAGAAAAAAGTACAGGATAAGCAAAAACTTTGTGTTTTTCCATTTCCTCAGATTTATTATTCCCTACCTACAATATATACAAGCATTAATCAAACAATTTCTGGTGATCGTGCTGGTTATTTAGGGCATGTGCTCCATTAGATACTGAATAGAAAAGGAGTCAAAATTCAGTAATGAATGTTTATTACAGTTAAAGGTAATTATTTTCACTAGAAATTATTCATTTTTGGTCATTACATTTTTTTTCTTATCAAGTATGGTTTAAGTCTTATGAGTCTGCCTCCAGAGTCCACTAAAATATCTGACCAACTGTATATATCATTATAAAGTTATACCAGTTTGAATTGTTTATCAAGAAAATAATTTTTATTCCTGTTGAAATATAGAAGATTTGCACAGAAGAACAAATGTTTTGAACATTACAATTCTCATGATCAATTTCACTAATTACATGAATATATGTAGTGGGTTGGGGAGCCCTTGAAGTCAAAAAGCTTTGCCAAAATGTAGTGTTGTAATGCACTATTATTATTTTTTTTAGTTCTGTGATGATGGATATAGCCCATGAGCATAAGCACTAGTATCATTTTTCCCTCATTTTCACTTAGTCACTATTCAATTTATGTTTGGGAATTGTGCACTAACAACTGCAACAGGTAAGCTAAACTAACCACTGTCCTTGACCTTCCTCTACAGAAATGCAGACTGTGCGTATTAGTATGGCCACATTGGGAGGAGCAGTTTCTTATCTATGTGTTGCGAGTAATCGTCTACATGCAAATGAGCTACTTCCCACCTCATTAAGGTACAAGTTACAAGCCTGTAATAGAAGAGACGTTTCAGTTCATTCTATATAACTTAAGGAAAAAAATAAAGAGTGGGTAGTTTTCTAACCAATTAGCCATACTGATAATATTTGTAGATTTAACATACTTAAATATCATTTGTGTTTGGGCTGCCATTTAGAATTTCATGTAAATATTTGGAGCCACTGAAAAGCTGTGTTCCATAGCAGATATCATGCTCTGACTTTCTTTATTTTTGGTACATTTGTCTAAAGTCATTTCAAACAGGTGGATTATATTTTTAAATCATATTTATTTTATTATTCTTCCTGATCATCTTATATTTTGAATTTATTTATTATACTTTCCAACTGAATGTTCTCATACCCTAATTTTTTGAGGTTAGCGAGATATGAATATAGATCTTTGAATTTGCATACAATGTAATTGGTTCCATTGTAATATTATCACTGGGATGCTTTTTCTTTTGATCTAACTCTGCCAGTCCTTGGGCCACACTTCTGCTGTTCATCTTCTATTACTCAGTAAACCATTTTACTTTTCATGTCACATTTACACTGAAACTGTTGAAGCTCTTAAAACCCATTTTTTCCTTTAACATATCAATCCAAGTTTTAGAGACTATACCTATAATCCACACATGAGATGAAACATACAGTATTACTATTCTTTTTCATTGTGTTGGATAAAGAAGTTTCTTCATATTATGGATCTGACCAAGAAATATTACAAATAAAACAAATTTGAGAAATAACGACAAGTTGCCAAGATCCTAAAGTTTCATTGTACTGGTTTCTGACTCGCATACTTAATGTATAATCCTAAGTCATAAGTGTCAAGTGTATATCTTTACCAGATTTCTTTTTGTGCATTGTATTCTTTCTCCAAGGTCAACAGCTATAGGAACCATTGGGGTAATTAGTAATACTGGATTATTCCTGGCTCCACTATTTATGATGCTAGTAGCATACTCTGCCTCCTTGCCCTGGATCATCTATGGAAGCTGCTCTATCCTCTCTGCGTTTATTGTGTTTCTCCTTCCTGAAACCAAGAATCAGCCTCTTCCTGAATCCATCCATGATGTGAGATATGAGTGAGTAAAACTTCTTACAGTTCTTTAGGGGAGTTGTTTGTGAATGGACTTTGTGTAGGGAAGCAAAGTAGCAATGAAGGACCAAATAAATTGGATTTATTTAATAATGGTCACTATTTTGAATGGGTAAGGTAACTCATAGGGATGCTCTTATTTGAGTTTAATTGTGGTCACTATTTTTGAATGGGGACATTTTGTTAATCTACTTATTATGTGGATATAGACAGTGTAGATTCAGATATCCCTGAAAACTCTCTTTGTCAAAAAGTCTACCTATGCAAAACCTGTCTAGGACACACTTATTGGTATTCTTTCTTCTCTGACATCTCTCTGTCCCTCTGTCTCTCTGTCTTTCAATATATTTATTAATATATTGGTATGGATTTATGTATCTAAATATCTATATATGGGCACACACACACACACACACACACACACACACACATATATATATTATACCACAAGCAGACAAGATTGCACAAATATAAATGTCATTTCTTCCTTCATACCCAGTTACTTTTCAGGATATTTAATGCTGATAAACTCTCTGAAACTGACAGTCTCTACATGTTTTAATAATGGTGACTGAATCATTCAGGGGGATAACATACAAGATTAAAGAACCTGATATAGATGATTGTGCATTGATGGGAAGCACTCTTTTATTTTATGTGACATTATGATCATCTTGATTTCTCTAGAAAAATTTTTTTGAGACAGGGTAGACCTGGCTGTCCTCAAACTCACTCTGTAGACCAGGCTGGCTTCGAACTCAGAAATACACCTGCCTCTGCCTCCCAAGTGCTGCGATTAAAGGTGTGTGCCACCACTGCCCGATGTTTTCTCTAGAAATATAAGTGTTCATGGTAAAGTCAATGGACAGGTCATTAAAGAGAACAGAACAAAAAAATGAATGGAGTCCATTTTAATATTTTTGTGTACTTCACATGCTTTCTTTCAAAGCTCATTGGCTAATACCATATTAACCAACAAAGAAAGCACCAAACCTGATTCACAAAACTTACCAGGGAATTTATTTTACAAGATGTTCTCAAATACTCTTGAAGTAGTCATTGTTACAAAGGTGATACATGAAATTGTAGGATTCTATGAAGAACTCTCTATATTGTATCAGATATTCTTTCCATTTTATGGCTTTTGTTGTACATGTTCTAGGTGGGAAAACTCAAGACAAGCAAAGAAGGAAGATCTCATCATCAAAGTCACAAAGTTTTAAGGAACACGTGGAATTGGCAACTGATCAAAGAGCTATTGAAAAAACGTTTTTTCAAGACATGGTGAAAAATTTCCCAAGATGATTACTTAGGATTATTGATATTAGCTAACTTTTAAATAAATAAACATAAAATATAAAGCATGAATCACATTGAAATTACTACAATAAATTACTATTTACCAAACACCCATGATCAATCACATAATTGATTTGAAGTAACATAGTACATCAAAAGCGATCTTTCTTGATTATTTTTGTAATATTGTATAGCTACCAAGTTTTTGTTTGGCATGTATATTAGCCTTCTTTCCACTGCTGTGATGAAATATCTGAGAAAAATTAAAGGAGCAAAACTTTATTCTTTTTCCAATTCCACATTATTGGTTTCAGTTCATGATTATTTAGAGGAATTTCAGCCCTAGTGTGAAACACCATTATGGTAGAAGAAAGATTCTCATTTCACACTTGCAAGGAAAATAGGGAGGGAGGTAGATAGAGGCAGAGATAGAGATGAAGAGGAGGGGGAGAGGGACGGGAAGAGGGAAAGGGAGGAGAGAGAGAAAGAGAGAGAGAGAGAGAGAGAGAGAGAGAATAGACAAAGAGATGGAGATAGACACAGAGAGAAACAAAGAAAAAGAGAACACTAATACAGGATTAAAAGGAACTGAAGAAGAAAAATGAGAAGTTCAATAAAAGACGAGAAAAGAAACTTGATATGGCCAAGAACAAAGTAGAATCCTCAAAGCAACCCTCCACACAACTGCTTTTTCCAAGTAACCCTCCAACTTGCTCCTTTCCCACCTCTGATTTTTAGTTCTCTTGCAATAGCACCAAATGGAGGAAATTATTTCTTCAGAAGATGAAACTTTTAGAGTCATTTAAATCCAAGACAGTCATTTAAAATAAGAATATTGACTATGTTTAAAAACTATTTCCAAAGCACAGCAGAGAACACTCAAAATATTGCATAGATCTGAAAAGAAGAGTATGTATAATGATAATACAGGACAAAGCAAAGATGGGTGATAACTGGCTTACAAAGTAGGGCAATTACACTAGCAGTACTAAAGCAAAACAGTGACAGCAGTGACACATCCATTCAATCTGTTCATTTGTGTGTATAACCTGGATTGCTGATAGAAGCCAGGCATAGAGAAAGCATGCACTGTGACTGGGTGAGGAAAAAACTGCTTAAAGCAAGTGGATGGTGGAACAAAGGTGAAATGAAAAGGAAAGGAAGTGGCATGGTGTGAGCAGAAAGGAGTGGGTAATAGAATTGTGGGGAAAACATAGAGGATGTGAGGAAGAATATATAACTTTAAGCATCTTTAAGGTATTTTAAAACAAATACATATTTCATATATGTAACACAGATAATACATACATACACAGAACACACACATAGACATAGATATCTAAGCTAAGCTTTTTTCACGTATATATATCTGATCTCTCTCTTGCTCTTTCTCTCTATCTCTCTCTCTCAACAGCTTAACAGGATTTAACACAAATCCTGCAGGAGTTAAAGGTGGTTTTCGTATGTGGAGAGAATTCTGGACATTATTGTCCATGTAGAGAATCACCCTGTGCCAAAGCAGAACAGATTTATCTGAAGTAAAAACAACTAAGAATCACTCATCTTTACAGAGATATAGATGAAGAAAGAGTTATGTCTTTCAAGTGTACCTATGTTTCTGCCTGTAGCATCAATGAGATCCTTCTAAGATAATAAAATAGGGAGAAAAAAAGAATTTATTTAGGACTAAATGTTAGATTGTCCTTTCCTGTTGGCAATACCATGCAACAAGAATTAAATCAAATTCAAAGTGAAGGTATACAAAAATAAAAAAGAAAAAAAATAAACCTGAAGCAAAGAGGCAGTTGAGGCCAGGAACACAAGGAGACTTGGAGAGGGGAGTAAGAAATGATGGATTTGATCAAAACAAAATATATTCAAATATGGAGGAAAAAAAGATATAAAAGCTAATGGAATAAATTTCCCTCATAACATTTTTACCATTAAAATACAAATTTTAGCAATGGTTCTTATAGGGTATTGTCCATAATTTATCCATGTTGACCATTGGGCCGATGCTCTGGTTCCTTTTTAAATGGTAATATCTCATACCAACTTTCCACATAACTTACATGATATTTGTAGAAATTGATCCTGTTGTGATTCATGCCTCCAGAATTTCTGTGGACTCTTGGGTGGTTACCCATGAGGCCATGGCTGTGTCTCAGGTGGCACTAGAGTTTCTGAGTCTTCCACAGTCTGGATAGCATAGTAACTGCAGAAATGAAAGAGGAAATTAACCAGTTGTGTATTTCTATAATAATTTTCACCTTTTGCAATGGCTAGCTTCTTGGATGAGAGGTACATTTATCTGTGTGTCTAGGAGCAGGTGTTTAGAATGCAGCTAGAGACCATACTGACACACAAACATGTGAGTAGTAGGTTCTCCTCAAGGATCCATAACTTCACCATCCACAGATTAATAACTGGGTTTACTGAGTAGGGTATGAATTTGAATCCTGACACACAAGTGACCACTGCCAAGGAATTGAAGTGAAATTCAAGATTTGAATCAAATCAATGTTGTTCAAAATCCATTTAATTTCCTCTTTCCTTTCTGCAGTCACTATGCCATGCCATCCAGCAAGCAGACACAGGTCAAGGACACACACACACACACACACACACACACACACACACACGATAGAAACTATTCCCATCTTTAGTATTGTGTGATCCAGCTACTATAAAATTCAGGGGAAGGGAAAGCTCCATAAGCAACTGTTCATTGAAGTGGCCAAATTCATCAGTAGAAGAGCTGAAGAGAAGACTAAGGGAGCTGGAGGTGCCAGTGTATTTGTTGCTTGAACTCACCAGTAGGTTGCTAATTAAATGCTAACATTTTTTTTTAAAAAATCATTTACTGAAATATTATTGCAAGCTAGCTCAGGGTTAAAGCATGTAAGAAAGAGAAGCAATGATAGACATACAGAGTAATTATCATCTATAGAGATAATCTCTTGTGCACTGTGTAAAAGCATTCACCCATGGTTATAGATAGGATCCACTATCTAACATAGATTCCAAGCTTAGAAAACTTCTGGCTGGAAAGGTGGTTTCCTAGCAAAAGAGCGTGAAGCAGTAGGAAATCAGAGAGGCAATGCTAAATTTGGCTTTTTTTTTTTAATCCAATGCTGAATAAAAAGCAGACTATTGGAGAGAGGAGAAGCCTGTGAACAGTGAGTAGAATGCGGAACTGAATCTTCATGGCATGGCCCTGCAAGAAAGCACTCCCCATATCCAGACACAATATGCTAGCCATATGGGAGGGTAAGTCCCTTCAAGACAGAGCTAGCCACCCTATAGGATACACACAGCCTAATTAGAGTCCAAGAGGGAGAAGTGTTCATGCCGAGTCAGAGGAAGTCAGAAGGCAAATAGTGTCTCCAGGCCAAACTGTCAGGTGCAGCCTATTAGATAGAGCTAAGGGGGCATAGGTAGCTACTGTAGAAACACACTAGTCTGAGAAGACCTCAGATGCACAGACAGGCAAAAGGAACCTTTTCCCAGAGCTTCAGTGAGACTGAAAATTCCTAATACTCTGATGTGGTAGGGTATTAAGTTTGAAAAAATAAAAGAGAAAGGAAATTTGCAATTTAGAACCAACAATATAGCTTGATCATTCTACCTTTTTTGTGTGTTGGGAAGACTTTTATTTCTGCCCATTGTGTTAAAACTTGTCTTTAACAACATCAACATGTCGGGAGCCAAAGCACATAGCTTGTAACTGAAATTGGACCCCCCCCCCCCGACAGAATTATTAAATTAACAGGCTGGTAAGCCAAGGACAGGTAAGATTCTGCACAGAGTCTTGTGGGACCATGAAAGGAAATCTTGGTTTCTAGTTGAGCACAGGTTTGGAACCCTGGACCCTAATGGGATGCTAGGTGTTCGGCCTTGCATCCAGACTCCAGACTCCTGACAGGAGGCCAAAGACCTACATAGATACATGCCTTTCAGTCATGTAGGGCAATGCCCCTATAGCCTCTCCCAAAGAAAGTTTTGTGTCACCTAGCACAGATAGAGGGCATGACTACAGGCCACAGAATCTCAAGCAATCTCCATATTAATGAGATACCTAAAGACCAGCGAACATAGCCAATTAAGCATTTCTTTCTCGATCCCTTCGCTTACAAAAGGTATTTAACCAATGGCCCACACTGGACGTATGGGGGTACACCTAGATCCACTTTCCACCATGACAATAAACCTTTGAAAAGCATGGAATTCCTCATGTCTTTGGGGCCTGGCCATGGAAGACAATGGAGAAGGCCTTTGACTACCAAGCCACTGCTTAATCTCCCACTAGAAGACTTCTCTAGGTTCTCACCATGGAGGCCACCAACTCAAACAAGCTAACCGACCAAGCCAAGTGAGTGCTATAACCAAGAGTCTTCTACCAGTGGAGCGCTGCTGGAGCTTCTCTCACTCATCCCTCTCAGCTGTGGGCCTGTCCAGGCTGTATGCCCACTCCATCTCAGTTCTTCCTCACCTCCCAGTGGCATCTGGGAGCCCAAGGACTAAGACCACCAGTCTCCCCATCTAGCAGCTTTGGCCCAGAGACTCACAGGAGCTCTGCCCCTGTGGAACTTCAGGCTGAGACTTCTCCACACATGGGCAGAGTCCCATGACTTCTCATAGCCCAGCGTCTACCCGGCTCTGGGTAGAAGAAACTCAGTCAAATTCCTGTGCTTCTGCTCCCCAGATCTGCAGCTCCAGCCACTTGGGGCGTCAGACAAACAGGAACTACAACAAAGCCGAACAGGACACATGCCCACATGCAAGCTCCATCCCCACAGAGCCTTACCAACCTACAAGAACAGTACATTGCTTTTTGATAATGCATATTCCATGACAGGTAAAGAAAGCATTCTTGGCAGAATGATCTAACGCAGGCTCAGTCTTGTTTATGAAATACAAAAGGGGAGAGTGGTTGCTTGGCAAGAATCTGACATTGGCGAAGGATAAGGAAATGAGCAGTTTGGCAGGAATATGACATTGGCCAAGGACAAGGAAGTAGGCTTCAGGCGGGAATCTGACATTAAGTTAGAACAAATAAATAATTTCAGGCAGGAATTTAACTCTTAGGCTAGAACAAAGAAATAATTTCAGGTAGGAATCTAGATCTTAGGCTAGAACAAGGAAATAGGCTTCAGACATGAAAATGACTTTGGACTAGGACAGGTAAGTAGGCTCAGATATTTTGGTCATCCTGATGAGCTCTTAGAAACAGTGATTTCAGTAGCGTTCATAGAACTTTGTTTATTGCCTTGCTTGTTCTTTGACTATTTTTGTTTAT